ACACACACACACACACACACACACACACACACACACACACACACAGACACACACATACGCACACACACATCCCTCCCGCCTCTTTCATTCTATCCTCAGCCGTTCAATCTTTCGTACGTCACATCGCACGCCACTCATGTACACACCTATACTCTCTCATGCACAAACTGTCATTCCCACGCACCCGGCAAAAACCGATAAAAGTGTTCATGTGTGACGGGGATGTTAAGTCCAATTTGAATTTCATGAGGAAAAATTGAAATCGCGCACTGGTAATAATCCGTCGAAACGCGGATCTTGTTCTCATTATTAACGCGAGCGTATCAGTTCGTCAAGTAACGGTAATTGAACAGATCTCGATGCCGCGAGCACGAAGCAGACGCGTGATTAATCGAGCGAACTCGATTATTATTGCCAGAGCGCTGTATATACGTGTTCGATCACTCTCACACACACACACGCACGCACACACGCACGCACGCACACGCCACACACACGCACGCACGCACGCACGCACTCATTCCTGCGAAATATCGGCAAAAAAACATTCACAATCGCACGCACCGCACATCACACGATTCACTATCAGAGAGACCGCCGACTCTCCATAGTAAAAACACACGCCCGGGTACCTTCCCGTGGATAAAATCACAGCAATTTTATACACCGTCATGTTTTCTCCCGCTTTCTTTCATCTCTTCTCACGCGAAGGATATAATATATACAATTCGTCGGTCATGTATACGCCCGGAGGCGACTTCGTTCGGACCCTCCCTCGCCCCTGCGCGTATACACGGTACTTTACATACATAACGTTTATATATATATATATATATACACACACATATATATATATATATGTGTATGTACATATAATTCACGCGCTTTCACGAAATTTGTACATGTGTATTTGTAGTATTGCGTGTGTTTATGTGTGTGTGTGTGTGTGTGTTTGTGTGCGCGCATTCAGCTACCGCTCGAGATTTCTATACTGAGAATAGCTGTCAAATAGTCGAAACACTTAAGATTCGTACCATTGAGAGTCGTTCTCAAAAAATAGAAATCACAACTTTTACATCGAATTTGCAACTTCGTTATCGTGATGTTGCGTTTGCAAAATTTCCGCGTTTGATTTTCCCAGAAAATTGAAATTATTCGACAAACTCGTAGAATATGAGAAAGTATCACTCTTCGTCAGTGTGACGTATATGTACTTTTACAGATTCTCGTGGAAAACATTACGTTAATGAAGAGCAAATTCGATGAATTGGCACCGACGATCTCACAACAGCTCACGATAGCGTGATGATTCACACTGAGATCCATCACGATTGCGTTTGTCTAAGGCTCCTCGGTGCGTGTTTTTGATTTTGTATGAATGTATTATCGCGTGTGTGTGTGTGTGTGTGTATTTTTTTGTGTAAAAATGTACAAGTACTTCGGTTCTTTACTCTCTCGAGAACGTAGGAAGGGCGATGAGGCTGGCTGGCTGGTCTTCGCTTCGTGGCTGCTGTCGTCATGAGAGAACACTCGGAGGTTACGCGGGTAGAGGAGGTACTGAGATCAATTAGTCGGCTGCTGAGAGAGCTCCAAGCTCGCTCCGTTTCTTTCTCGCTGCGACGGCCGCGAAATCCTTCTCCAGCGAAAAAGGCTCTCTCGCCGAGATGGTAAAGGCGATCGATAAGAATGAATTTCAGCAGTTGAATCAACGAGAATCGACTGGCTCGCGCTTCAATCCGCTACCATTTCTCTTTTCACTCTTCTATTGCGACACACAGTTGTGTGTTTTTTTTTTTCTTCTTCTCGTGCTGTCTTTCCGATCGAGCGCGTTTAAACGGCGCACACAGACTAGGCGCTCGGAAACACACATACGCTTCTCTTTTCTCAAAGATGCCTTGTTGTTTTCATTCACTCGAGAGATTCTTCGCGCGCGAGAGGAGGATCGGTGAAACGCGAGACTAGACTAGAGTCGAGTCGAGTCGATCGACGCGCGTGGACGAGCTCGCGTCTCCCGAAGGATGGACTCTCCCCGTGTAGTAGGAAGCTACTGTAAGACGAAGCGTGACGAAATGCGACGCTGCAGATCATCGACGATGCTGCTCCCCATTTTTATACTTTTTTCCCTTTCTTTTTTCGTAGAAGACGAAAGATATATATATATATATATATATATATATATATATAGAGAGAGAGAGAGAGAGAGAGAGGGGGGGGGAGAAGAAAAGGAAAGAGACAATCGGAGAGGACCGATTCTTCACTCGAGATTCTCGTCGAGAAGGGATAGGGACAAAAAACAGAAAAGAAAAAAGAACACGAAAGAAAGAAGATGAAACACAAAGGAGAGAGACGCACGCACGCTTGGAGTTCACAAAAGGTTGGAGCGCGCGGACCCCTAACTCGGGGTCCGACGCGACACACGGGATATCACATATCACGAGATGCACGTGCGTTTTTAGTAGATCGTTTCAAGAGCGTGGATCACGAGCGCGGTGGCGAGCCTAGCGATTCAGCTGGAGACGTACGCGGCGATCTGCTCGCTGAATTGCGTGTGCTCCAGCAACAGAGAGTCTTTGCAGGTTTCGAATTGCTGTTGCTGCTGCTGCTGTTGCTGTTGCTGCTGCTGCTGTTGCTGATGCTGCGACGGCGACGACATGGTTGGCGCTTGTTGATGCTGCGAATGATGATGATGCTGTTGCTGCTGCTGTTGTTGGGAGATCTCTTCCGCGCTCTCGGCCTCGGTACGCTCGTACAACACGCAGATGGAACCGTTCTCGCCGATCCTGTACGACACCTCCGACGGATCGATCCACATGGTGAGCTCGCTGGGGAACAGGCTGTGCAGCACCGTCGGCAGCAGGCCGACGTTCGCACCGGCTTGCGCGATCACCGGGTCCATTTTGCCGTTGATGCGTATGCAACGGTAGCCGGAGCCGCGATTCGGTCGATCGGGGAACCAGTGGTCCCGGTAACGATGGCGCAACACCTCCGTCAACGATGACTTGAACATCTCCAGTTGCCGTTCCGACAGCTGTCCCGCCTGCAGGCGCAGCAGGTGCACCAGAAAATCCGCCGCCGACACGATTTCCAGTCTCATGGTCGGTAGTGACCCAGGGCGAAGACTTCGATAACGATAATTGAACGAAAAATATTCTCTCTCTTTCTCTCCCTCTCTCCTCTCTCTCTCTCTCTCTCTTTCTTTCTCTCTCGCTCTCTCTCGCGCGCGCGGTGCGATTGACGGATGTGCGTGGATGGTAAGTCACGCCGCTGATGACGCACTCTTGATCTCAAATACACTGTTTGTCTCTCTCTCTCTTTCTCGCTCTGTCTCGTCGTTCCTCGCGCGATCCACCACGATGATTTCCGGAGGCTCGAAAAGCGCTCCACTGCCGTTTTTTACACTGATCGAGGACGATACGGAGAGATACGCGCCGCGTGTCACGGGTCACGGCGCGGCGATGAGTAAGCCCGACGGCGTTGATGCCGAAAGAAACGCACAGTACCAGTCACAAAATGGCGTCGTCGCCACGTCGCTGCGTAGCACTCTACAGCGCTCGTCGTACGTCGTCGACCCTCCAGCGCGACAGGCTAACCGCCGGAGCGTCCCTCGGAGATCCTCACCGATGAGGATGCGGCAATCCGACGCACAGTGACAGATGTTCGTGGGGGATTGACTTGTCGGCTGAGCGTCCGCGCGTCGTTTTTCTTAACGCTCGCCTGCGAGTTCGCCTCGTTGACTCGTCCTTGCGCGCGAATCCCTCACTGCTCGCGTGGAACGAAAGGCGCGTTCTATGTTTCGTTCCACGCTTCGTTTCACCGGATCGATTCCGACGACGATTTGGCCGATCCGGAACCGTCGGCGTCGATGGGTTCGAGCTGGAGCTCAACTCTAAAACCGGAGTCGTCGTCGTCGTCAAAAACTCCGAACCTTCGACACTGTTTCTCTTGCCGTTGTCGAAACCCGACAGGTTGGCTGATTCTAAAACTTTCTCGTGACCGATGATGGACCTGCTCTTTTTTATCTCTCTCTCTCTCTCTCCCTCTCGCTCTCTCTATCCAACTCACGGAGGTCCCGTGTTCATCGACTGCCGACGACTTTCTAATGGCAGCGCCAGCGACCACAGACGGGATAGCCTCGTCTCTTTGTTCGAGGGACGCCGAATGGGGGTTACGTATCGCGACATCGGCCAATCGTACGTCGACGCTGCCCACCGCGACGCATCGTCACGTGATCCTGCGTGCTGCGCATGATAGTTGCGCGTCCGCAGCCGCGTCCCGAATACGCAGATCCTCATCCTGTCCTGTCTGCGCTGGTCTGCGCTGTCAGCGATTCTCAAATCGCACCGACGTGAAGTCAAAAAAACGTATTTGTATAAAACGTACCATGGACAAATCACGTCGCTGCATACATCAAAATATTATTATTGAAAAAAATAATTTTAATTTTTTTTTCTTTTAAGTAAAGATTATCTTTCACGAAAAATATTATAAAATTAATAGAAGAGAAATGGCTTTAATAATAAGAAATCAAATTTGCTTTGATTTAATAATCTTGATTAAAATATTAAACTATTAATGAGAGAAGAATTCAGAATATATTTTAAATAAATTCAATGCTTCTAATAAACTTATAGTAGACATGCGGGTTATACAATAAACTTGGAAATATTTGAAACGAATAAGTATATTACTTGCATGTAGTATGATTTTTCTTCAAAACTAAGCTTGTTAACTATTTATATTTATAAATATAAATTTATATTTATAGATATATACAATTCAATTATATCGCGCGTATACAGAACAATCTATATTGAACGTCACTTTATTGCGTCTTTGCTCGTTGCACAAACAAAGACAAACCGGTATTTCTGATTGTTTTTAATAATTAACTTCTATATCATTTTTCTTTTTTGCATTGAGAAACTGCGCTATCCTTTGAAATTGCAAAAAATGAAAACATATCGCGTGTCTTTTTAAGTCTGACGTATTATAGATAGCCTAATAATTTCTATAACTTCTTTGAATCAAAATATGTGATGAGCATTATATCGATCGACGCTATTGAATATAATGGAGTTATTGAATATAATCTTAAGCTGGATTATATACTATATAAGTTTACGAATTCATTCTTTCTTTCTGGATAAAAATGTTTCTTCTAATAATTCAAATTTGCATGCGTAACTAATTCACAGAACTACTACTCGTCAAATCGTTCGATGTCATACAGTCTACTCTAAATCCCACGTAAAGTTCCTATAACGCAAGCAGTAATGCCAAGGCAGTAACACGTCATTTGTTTCCACAATACGACCGCAGAGTCAAAGTTACACCGGTTCCATTCTACTGCCATGTTCCTAATTGGTTGCGTCAATTTAGCGAGTCTAGTGCTGTGAGCACCACTGATCCCGAATTTAAGGACAGTTTGAGGCAAGCAAGAAGGAAGCTAACGCCGACTGCTAGAAAGCGCGTTAGATTACAATACCATACAACTAACTACACACGACGAGCGTCGACGACCGTCCCTCGACTACCCCCTCCGTGTCGGGGTAGTGGCATGAAAACCACTCTGTCCGGGATTAGCCTGAAATTCGAACAACGTGCTTGGCTGGAGAAAAAAAGTCCAGCTCCGTTCCCGCGGTACCCCTCTTCCTTAACCCTTTGACGTGCAAGTTCTGTACCCTTTCGAAACGCTTCAATCAACGAGATGGAAAGGAAGGAGAGGGCAAAAATCATTTCGTTCACTTATTTCGAGTCTTCGTATACTGTATAATGTACAGCGCAAAGTGGAGATAATATTTTTAAAAAATCATTATCTCTCGGTCAGAGGTCTGAAACAACATGTTGTGTGAAGGATGCAATTCTTGCTTGCGTTAAACAGAGTGTTTAACATGGACGTTCTCGTCGTCGAATTGAGAAAGTCTGGCCCATCGGAAGGTGAGCTAGAATTCGATGTGCATCCTCCCTTGCAAAGGTATGAAAGCGGATCTGATTTGCCAACCGCGCTATGTAGAGCATTTCACTCGTAATTCCGGGAGTTCGCCACTGCCAAGTTGGCAACTGAGCGTCGATCGATAAGCCCAGATTATCGTGGACCGGCTCCGCAAAAATTCACGAACCGCACGCGAGTTTCCCTGCGTCGGGAATTCACGCCAGCGTGATGCGCGAGCTGTACACAAAATCGTTTCGTGACAAAAATCGCGTTATTAGGATAGAGAAATAATTACGTTCGTGCATCGTCGTGACTAAATTTAAATAAAATATTCTGTATAACAAGGTCTGGCGTATACGAGTAGCTTTGTCGAAACAAAAATGAGAAAAAAAAGTATATATACGCGGTCTGGGGGGTTTATGTGTATATCTTTATTTATCTCATTCTAACAAACTATTTTAAGCCCATAAGAATGTAAGGCAGTAATAAGACATAAGCAGTAAGCAAAGAAATCAGCCAATCAGCGTTATTGTTTTACGTTTTTTATTGGCTAATTCGCTTATTACTTACGTTTTACTGTCTGCTCTGGCTTTACTCATTCTAACTTACTAAAGTTGACAAACATGTTAATAAAAAATTGTCATGTCGCGGCCAGATTCTGTTATATTTCATAAAAAGTTTCAAATTTATTCTGAATCATAGTAAGCTTGATACTTTTATTAAGACTATTACATTAAAATAAATTCGATTTGCTGTTATAAAGGGTCTCCATATCACGAAGAGACCGTATAACAGTCTGACTATGAATGATTTTGTCAAAATCCTATAACGTAAAAAAAGGTATATAAACTTCTTTCCTAAGTATACTATTTATACTTTAATTTATATATAATATTTATATATTATATAATATATAATACAATATATGAAATTGTCTCACTTTATAACTTTAATTACAAAATTATAAAATAAGTAACAGTACACACAGAAAAATATTTTATTGATAAGAAAAGTAAATTCATTATTCACTTTCTTTCTTGTAAGTAATGGTTTAATCTTTATCAAAGAATATTTTTTTTATAACAATCATACTCGTTAAAAATTTTAGAAAAGCTCATTAAAACGTACTCAACAAAGAACTTATTTTCTTTTGAAAAATATATATATAAAATTTATCGAAAAAAAAAAAACGACTTTATATTAATAATAAGTAAATCGAATTGGTTCTTATTTAATAATCTTGACTGAAAAGTGCATATTATTAAACTTCCTACGATTCAGAATATATATATTTGGAATAAATTTGAAACTTTTGATAGATTTGTGTGCGAATAGGTACACGAATTTTCGAAATATTCGAAACAAATAATTATTACTTGCGAACAGCACATATTTTTCTAGATAAGTTAGAATAAAATAATATAGTATATCCAGAGAGAAAGTATATAAATATACTCACCTTTCTCTCTCGTAGAATTTTGATAAAATCGTTCGTTGGTTAAATTCTATTGTATACAGGGCGTCTCTATAGTCGTTGCGAGGTCATCGCGTTCACCGGAAGTTGGACGAATTAAGTTCTGAGCGAGTTAAACCGCCCAACTATCGAGAAACTCCGTTTCCGCGCACAAAGGAAGTCGCTGACGCGTAGTACAGCGAAAATATTGCGTTTAACGATCAAAGGCGGCTAAACGTCGCCGCAGTCGCGAAACTGATTAATTTTGCAATCGACGATGTCTACGCTAGTCTACAGTGTGATTTCGTGCTCACGTCGCGATATACCTCAGGACGCGATCGATCGTTTCCGTTTCCACGCGTCCCGACTCGCGAGTAATTGCAACGCGTAAAAACGATAGAAACACCGAGTCCGTGAATCAACAATCGCGCCATCATTAACTTTACGGCTACAATTTGCGAGATTATTTAAGATTACTGTAGCGACGATATCGACAGTATAAAAGCTTGCACGAATGTACACCTATAACGTATAAACGAACAGTCGAGTTTAATGAAAAATAAGATATAGAGTATAACGCTGTTTCTCGAGATAAGATAAATTCTTCAACGCTTTCCGCTCTTGCCGGAAAAATGATTTGGCACGCCAAAACCACGATAATGATGAAATATCTCGTCCGCATATTCCAAATGCGAAGAGAACGAACGCGCTATATGCACGGTGAACGAAATATGTCGAACGTGCAATTGGCCGGGAGGGGCTGCAAACGCGCGCAGAAGGGTGCCGTATATTCAAATTATGGGGTGACCCTTCTCGAAAACTTCACGAGGGGAACGGAGGGAAGCTCGGAATTGCCGACGATCTCTCTCTCTCTCTCTCTCTCTCTC